GATGGGGTTTCAACATGTTGGCCAGGCTGGTCCCGAACTCTTGACCTCAGGTGATCCACCTGCCTTGGCCTCCCAAAGTTCTGGGATTACAGGCATGAGTCACCATGCCCAGTCATGCTATTCATTTTTTTTTAACTCAAAAATGTATCTTAAAGATCCCCTCCTGTCAGTCCAGATCCATGGAACTTTTTTATTTATTTATTTATTTATTTATTTATTTTTATTTATTTTTTTTTTTGAGACGGAGTCTCGCTCTGTCGCCCAGACTGGAGTGCAGTGGCCGGATCTCAGCTCACTGCAAGCTCCACCTCCCAAGTTTACGCTATTCTCCTGCCTCAGCCTCCCGAGTAGCTGGGACTACAGGCGCCAGCCACCTCGCCCGGCTAGTTTTTTGTATTTTTTAGTAGAGACGGGGTTTCACTGTGTTAGCCAGGATGGTCTCGATCTCCTGACCTCGTGATCCGCCCGTCTCGGCCTCCCAAAGTGCTGGGATTACAGGCTTGAGCCACCGCGCCCGGCCCATGGAACTTTTTTAAACTGCTGCTTAGTGTTCCATTCTGTAGGCAGTTGGTTGAAATACTCCCCTATTTGTGAAAATTTAGGTGGTTTCCAATTTCTCACAACTACATTGCAGTGAGCTACTAATTGATTTCCCTGTTTCCACTCTTGTCCCCTTTCCTCGGTGATAATTGAAATTGTGGACAGAGTGGACCAGATGTGTCTGTCCTTCCAGCTCTGAAATTCTGCTTCAGTGATTCAGACCACATAGTCAGCCATTCACAGAGAACGAGAACTTGAAGCTCAGCCTAACATGAGCAGATAAAATGACAGGAGAGGAAACTGTTGGACCAGGTTTACCTCCTGTTCATTTGGAAGGAACTGGGAAGCTCTTGCACACATCCTGGCTTCCTTGCATTGCCTCATTCATTCGTTTATTCATTTGGTCAGTTACCTTCTGCCTAGTAGTCCCCAGACAACGACAGTTCTGATGCCTCTTCCTTCCTAATATAAGGCAAACTACCTTCACCCCAGTCTTGACCTGAGCCTGTCTACTCCATGGTTGGCAGGCACATGCCTGGTTGTTGGGTGATGTGGGTGCTGAAAGTGGGACAGTCACAGCCCAGGCAGACCCCTGCCCTCCCTTTGCTCCACTGTCTATCCAGCTCCTGCCTTTCTCCTTGTATTGCCATCCACACTTCAGGGCCTCGTGAGCAAACGGTTTTGCATTTATCACCTGCTAATACACTAGATCATTTACTTATTTCGCTCATCTAGCATCTGCCTTCTCCCCTAGAACGACAGTTCCACGAGGACAGGAATTTCGTCTTTTTACTGCTGTATCCCCACACTTAGTATATGGTGACTTGGCACATAGCAGGTGCTCAATAAACGCTGCAGCAACTGGGCCTTTGTGTGACTGGATGAGTCTTATCTCTTGGAATGAAACCTAGAAATGGAAGTCCTACATCACAAGGCATACTTGTTTGACATTTTAATAGTTGTTAATAGGTCGAGTGCAGTGGCTCACACCTGTAATCCCTGCATTTTAGGAGGCTGAGGCAGGTGAATCACCTGTGGTCAGGAGTTCCAAACCAGCCTGGCCAACATGGTGAAACCCCGTCTCTACTAAAAATTTAAAAATTAGCTGGGCTTCGTGGTGAGTGCCTGTAATCCCAGCTACTCAGGAGGCTGAGGCAGGAGAGTCACTTGATCCCTGGAGGGGGAGGTTTAGTGAGCCCAGTTCACGCCATTGCACTCCAGCCTGGGTGAAAGAGCGAAATTTTGTCTCCAAAAAAAAAAAAAGGCCGGGCGCGGTGGCTCAAGCCTGTAATCTCAGCACTTCGGGAGGCTGAGACGGGCAGATCACGAAGTCAGGAGATCGAGACCATCAGGAGATCAAGACCATCCTGGCTAACATGGTGAAACCCTGTCTCTACTAACAAATACAAAAAACTAGCCGGGTGAGGTGGCGGGCGCCTGTAGTCCCAGCTACTCCCCCCCGCCCAGCCTTCCGAAGTGCTGGGATTACAGGTGTGCCACTGCGCCTGGCCTACTAGATTCTGATATACGTGATATACGTGAGTTCTGGATTTTGTTTTTGTTTTTAGAGATAGGATCCAGCTCTGTTGCCCAGGCTGGAGAATCATGGCTCGCTGCAGCCTTGACCTACCAAGCTCAAGTGATCCTCATACCTCAGCCTCTCAAGTAGCTGGGACTACAGGTACGTGCCACTACACCTGGCTAATTTTAAGGTTTTTTTTGTATCTTGCCATGTTGTCCAGGCTGATTTCAAACTCCTGGCTGAAGTAGTCTTCCTGCTTCTGCTTTCCAAAGTGCTAAGATTACAGGCATGAGCCACTGTAACTGGCTGGGTGTGTTTCTGGACTCTTAAACTCTTCTACTGATTTCCCCCACTTTTAACTTCTATGACAATACCATACTTAAAAATACCTCTATTTATTTATTTATTTATTTTTGAGAGGGAGTTTCACTCTTATTGCCCAGGCTGGAGTGCAATGGCGCGATCCTGGCTCACCACAACCTCCACCTCCCCGGTTCAAGCGATTCTCCTGCCTCAGACTCCGGAGTAGCTGGGAATACAGGTGCCTGCCACCACGCCAGAATAATTTTCTATTTTTAGTAGAGATGGGGTTTCTCCATGTTGGTCAGGCTGGTCTCGAACTCCCGACCTTGGGTGATCTGACCACCTTGACCTCCCAAAGTGCTGGGATTACAGGCATGAGTCACCGTGCCCAGCAAAAATATCTCTTTTTAGACAAGGTGCGGTGGCTCATGCCTGTAATCCCAGAACTTTGGGAGGCTGAGGTGGGAAGATCACTTGAATCTGGGAGGTTGGGGTTAGAGTGAGCTGTGATCCTGCCACTGCACTCCAGCCTGGGTGACAGCAAGACCCTATCTCAAAACAACAAAACAACCACCACAACAACAACCACTACTCCCCCATCCCCCCACTTTTTTTTTTTTTTTTTTTTTTTTTGAGACGGAGTCTTGCTCTGTCGCCCAGGCTGGAGTGCAGTGGCCAGATCTCAGCTCACTGCAAGCTCCGCCTCCCGGGTTTATGCCATTCTCCTGCCTCAGCCTCCCGAGTAGCTGGGACTACAGGCGCCCGCCACCTCGCCCGGCTAGTTTTTTGTATTTTTTAGTAGAGACGGGGTTTCACCGGGTTAGCCAGGATGGTCTCGATCTCCTGACCTTGTGATCCACCTGTCTCGGCCTCCCAAAGTGCTGGGATTACAGGCTTGAGCCACCGCGCCCGGCCTTTTTTTTTTTTTTTTTTTGAGATAGAGTCTTGCTCTGTCGCCCAGGCTGGACTGCAATGGTGTGATCTCAGCTCACTGCAACCTCTGCCTCCCGGATTCAAGTGATTCTCCTGCCTCAGCCTTCCAAGTAGCTGGGATTACAGGCACCCGCCACCATGCCTGGCTAATTTTTTGTATTTTTAGTAGAGACAGGTTTTCACTATGTTGTCCAGGCTGGTCTCAAACTCCTGACCTCAAATCATCCACCTGCCTTGGCATCCCAAAGTGCTGGGATTACAGGTGTGAGCCACTGCATCAGGCAACCACCTCATTTTAACTGTGGAAAATTTCAAACTCATACAAGAGTATATGTATGTATTTATGTATCATGAACCCATCACCAGGTTCAACAATTATCATTTTGTAGCTAATCTTGTTTCATCTAAATCCCCACCTACTTATCTTCACTGCCTACTCCCAATTATTTGGAAGCAGGTGCCAGAGTAATTTCATCCCTACCATATCTCTATGTATCTCTACAACACAAGGACTCTTTTTTTTATTTTATTTATTTATTTTTTTTGAGACGGAGTCTCGCTGTGTCTCCCAGGCTGGAGTGCAGTGGCGTGATCTCGGCTCACTGCAAGCTCCGCCTCCCGGGTTCACGCCATTCTCCCGCCTCAGCCTCCCAAGTAGCTGAGACTACAGGCGCCCGCCACCACGCCCGGCTAGTTTTTTGTATTTTTAGTAGAGACGGGGTTTCACCATGTTCGCCAGGATAGTCTTGATCTCCTGACCTCGTGATCCACCCGCCTCGGCCTCCCAAAGTGCTGGGATTACAGGCTTGAGCCACCGCGCCAGGCCAGGACTCTTAAAAAAGAAAAGAAAAGGTGTGGTGGCTCATGCCTGTAGTCCCAGCATTTGGGAGGGTGAGGCAGGGGGATCACCCGAGGTCAAGAGTTCAAGACCAGCCTGGCCAACATGGTGAAACCCCGTCTCTACCAAAAAAATATAAAAAAATTAGCCAGGTGTGGTAGCGTGTGCCTGTAATCCTAGCTACTTGGGAGGTTGAGGCAGGAGAAACCGGGAGGCTGAGCTTAGAGTGAGCCGAGATCGAACCGTTGCACTCCAGCCTGGGCTACAATAATGAAACTCCGTCTCAAAAAACCAAACAAAACAAAACAAGACAAAACAACAACAACGAAAAGAAAACAAAACCAAACTCTTGGCAGTTTATGTTTTGAATAAACTAAATCATTTGTCCTGTGGTTTTCCTGTCTGGATTTTGCTGATTGCCCCCCGTGCATGTTGAACCATACTTTAAAAATTACTATAATTTCATGTTAATATGTACAAAATCTGGTATGTCAATTTCCCCAATCTTTTTCAAAATTCAAGATGCTGGCCGGGCGCGGTGGCTCAAGCCTGTAATCCCAGCACTTTGGGAGGCCGAGACGGGCGGATCACGAGGTTGGGAGATCGAGACCATCCTGGCTAACACGGTGAAACCCCGTCTCTACTAAAAAAATACAAAAAACTAGCCGGGCGAGGTGGCGGGCGCCTGTAGTCCCAGCTACTCGGGAGGCTGAGGCAGGAGAATGGCGTGAACCCGGGAGGCGGAGCTTGCAGTGAGCTGAGATCCGGCCACTGCACTCCAGCCTGGGCGACAGAGCGAGACTCCGTCTCAAAAAAAAAAAAAAAAAAAAAAAAAAAAAAAAAAAAAATTCAAGATGCCACTACTTGTGCTTTTGCTCTTCCATAGGAACTTTAGAATTAACTTGGCAAATTCCAGAACAGAACCCACTGGGACTTTCATTGGAATTGCCTCGACCTTTTTTTTTTTGTTTTGTTTTGAGAAGAGTCTTGCTCTGTCGCCCAGGCTGGAGTGCAGTGGTGCAATCTTGGCTCACTGCAACCTCCACCTCCCGGGTTCAAGTGATTCTCCTGCCTCAGCCTCCCAAGTAGCTGTGATTACAGGCCCGCGCCAGCACGCCCAGCTAATTTTTGTATTTTTAGTAGAGATGGGGGTTTCAACATTTTGGCCAGGCTGGTCTTGAACTCGTCGCCTCAAATGATCTGCGTATCTCGGCCTCCCAAAGTGCTGGGATTACATGCGTGAGCCACCGCGCCCAGCCTAGAGCTAAAGTTTTGAATCTTTAGCTTTTGCTGGTATTATGAAGGGGGTTGTTTTGTTGTGCTTGTTGCTTCTATTTTCTAATTGATTAAAAAAAATTAAGATGGTGGGGGTGGTCTCGTTATGATATCTACGCTGTTCTGGAACTCTTGGTCTCATAGATCCTTCTGCTTTAGCCTCCTGAGTAGCTGGGATTACAGGTGAGGGCCACGAAGCCTGGCCTCTAATTAATTATCGGTGATGTATAAAAAGAACAGACCTTCTTCATTCGAATCCCGTCTTCTCCATCTATTATATGATTTTGGACATGTTTGTTCAACTTCTCCGAGCCTTTGTTTTCTTTTTACCACATGGGGATCATAAAGCCGGAATGCAGTTGGGAATAAAACCGGATAAAGCACCCAACGAACAAGATCAGGGCAGGGCCTGGGTAAAAGGTTTGAGAAGACACATGCACGGTTGGGAAGGACGCTACGGGCGAGTCTATGTTGCATGCAGGAGACTCCACGTTAAGACGAGTGAACTCCTCTGAACCTTCAAGGGATAATGCACAACCATAACAAGAATAATTTTTAAAAATAAAGTTTTATTCCCTGAAAGCCTGGGGATGTCCAGGATGCGCGCCATTCTGTGATCTAAGTCGACTTTCCACCTCTTCAGTTGGTACCACCTTTCCCAAAGAGTTTGGAGCAGAGCACTCCGGTCTTCGTAGTAATTTACTCCTAAGGGCTGGTCCAGTGGACTCACGCAGGCGCAGGAGACTACACTTCCCGGGAACTCCCGGCCTCGTTGTTCGCTGGTACCGCCTTCTGACTTCCGGTATTGCTGCTCTCTGTAGGGCCAATCGGGAGCCTGGAATTGCTTTCCTGGAGCTCTGATTGGTGCATTCGACTAGGCTGCCTGGGTTCAAAATTTCAACGATACTGAATGAGTCCCGCGGCGGGTTGGCTGGCGCTTCGTTGTCAGAACTGAGGAGAGGCTAGGTGAGCCGCGGGAAGAAAAGAGGGAGCAGCTGGGGCGCGGGTGTCCCTCCTCCCGGAGTTTGGAATGGCTGAAGTTCACCTTCCAGCTCCTAGCGCAGTTCGCGCGGGTAGGCCTGGCTTCTGAGGCGGTTGCGGTGCTCGGTCGCCGCCTAGGCGGGGCAGGGTGCGAGCGGGGGCTTCGGGCCACCCTTCTCTTGGCGACAGGATTTTGCTCTGAAGTCCGTCCGGGAAACTGGGGGGAAAAGGAGTTGCGGGAGGCTATCGTCTAATAAAGGTAACGATAATTATTATTACCATGCTAACAGGTTATAAACATTGACTGAACTAAGTACCCTGCGTGCCCGTTCTCATCTAATTTCCTGGCCAAGCCAATGTAGTTGGTGCTATTCTTGGTCCCTCTTGACGGAAACGGAGGAAGGAGGTAGGAGGAGGAAACTGTGGGCCAGAATCTAGATAAATTTCGAGAAATGGGTGATACAGTAGCCCTGCCCTCAGGAAGTGTGGCGTTTGATGGAGGAAAACAGAGGTAGTCACAAATAAGGACATTTCAAAACTGTTATCTAAAACAGAAAGATGATTAGATGGTGTGAGAACATAATTGAGGGAGAGTTTAAGTCCATTTGGAGTTGTCTTCTATTTGGGATTTAAAATTCATTATATGTTATCCATATTTGTCCAGCTCTCTCTTTTTGTATGGAATCACCAGATATTATTCCCTTTCTCATTTCCTTTCTCAACATTTATAGATTGGAGGGGGGAAGGAAAACCAAACCAGGTTATAATATTGTAGAATTGGTTTACCCCCTATTTTCTTGACATATAACGTCTTGTTTTCCACATATAATTTTCTGGTAGTTCAGTAACATGGACTTCCCCAAATCAGGCCTACTTAGGATAGAAAAGGATTTTTGACTCCTAGATTTTGCTTTAAGACCAGCTCTTGGTTTACTCCCTGGTTCACCCTTACCTTTTCTTGACATCCTATGGCCTCTCTTTGAATTTCTCTCACTCATCAAATGTTGTCAAAAATAGGACTATAAGGATGTTCTTGTATTGTGGCCTTAGTGTATTACACCACCCCCATGTCAGACTTAAGTCCGTCCCCCTGGTTGGATGGATGAGTCAGTTCAGTATTAAGCTGGCATTCTTGGATCAAAATTATGTGGCTCTCAGCTAACTCGGCCGTTTAGTTGTCCTTTGAGGGTACTGCGTGCTCAGATTGGCATGAGATATGGGTATACAGATGTGTGATGAACTCAAAGGTTTTTTGGTGTGTTTGGGGACAAAAACATGGTTTGAAATTGGCAAGTGAGAATCAGAACAAGACAGGACACCATCTGAGTGCTCTACTGTTTTGTATTCTAAGTGTCCGGACAATTTAGAGGTGAGGGAGATCAAGAGCCAGTTTGTGTTTCTGTGCTTCACAAAGCCACCCTTGCCTAATTCTTGATAAGCAAGAGTTTGGTTAGACAGGGACTGAAACAATCCTGGTACATAGGAATCACCCACTAAATACCTGTTGAATTGACTAGGCAGGAAGGCACTATCTGAATTGACTACAAAATTGCGGGTATGAAAAACTGGATTGTACTCAACTAGGTTGGTAATTTTGTTTAGACTTTCAAATTAGCTGAATAGGGTTTATCTGGCTAACCTTATGCTTAAATCTGTGTATTTCAACCTTGATAAAATTAATTTATTGCAGTTAAGATTGTCCAGGATTATGTGAGAGAGTCCTTCATTTCTTGTTTAGGTACCAGATTTTCAGAGTTCGTCTACATCTGTTGGTTAATTTTCCTTCAGCTTTTTCTGGGTCTCTTCCCTAATTCTTTTTTTTTTTTTTTTTGAGACGGAGTCTCGCTGTGTGACCCAGGCTGGAGTGCAGTGGCACGATCTCGGCTCACTGCAAGCTCCGCCTCCCGGGTTTACGCCATTCTCCTGCCTCAGCCTCCGAGTAGCTGGGACTACAGGCGCCCGCCACCACGCCCGGCTAGTTTTTTGTATTTTTTAGTAGAGACGGGGTTTCACCATGTTAGCCAGGATGGTCTCGATCTCCTGACTTCATGATCCACCCGCCTCGGCCTCCCAAAGTACTGGGATTACAGGCTTGAGCCACCGCGCCCGGCCTATCTTCCCTAATTCTCTTTGAATTCCTGGGAGAAAGAGGAGGGAGAGTTAAATGCCCTTTGACATACTTAATTTTCTTTGCTATGAGTAAAGTTAGGAAGCAAAATTGACTATATATAGAGTTTTTTTTTTTGAGATTTCAGCTCACTGCAACTTCTGCCTCCCCTGTTTAAGCAATTTTCCTACCTCAGCCTCTCGAATAGTTGGGATTATAGGGACCTGTCACCACACCTGGCTAATTTTTGTGTTTTGTTTTTTGTTTTTTTTTTTGAGATGGTGTCTCACTCTGTTGCCTAGGCTGGAGTGCGATGGTGTGGTCTTGGTTCACTGCAACCACTGTCTCCCAGGTTCAAGCAATTCTCCTGCCTCAGCCTCTCAAGTAGCTGGAACTACAGGCACGTGCCACCACACCCGGCTAATTTTTTTGTATGTTTAGTAGAGACGGGGTTTCACTGTGTTAGCCAGGATGGTCTTGATCTCCTGCCTGCCTTGGCCTCCCAAAGTGCTAGGATTACAGGCGTGAGCCACCGCGCCCAGCCTAATTTTTGTATTTTTAGTAGAGATGGGGTTTCACCATGTTGGCCAGGCTGGTCTTGAACCCCTGACCTAAAGTGATCCACCTGACTTGGCCTTCCAAAGTGCTGGGATTATAGGTGTGAGCCACTGCTCCCGGCCTGTTAACCCTTTTTTTACTACAGAGAACTTGGAACCTGTTTCATTACTTTTCTACTTCTTCCAGGTTCTTGATACATATTTGCCAGACTTCAAGATTTAAGAAAAGGGGTGAAAGAGAAGATTGCAACTTTCAGTCAGGCCTGTAGGCCTGATAGACTGATTAAACCACAGGTAAGGCAGTGACCATAGGAAGAAGGAACATTAATATATCAACTTCATAAGTGTTTAAATGACTTTAATTTTATAAAGTAACACATATTTTGGAAGGAAATTTATTTATTACGAAAAGCAAAAAGAAAATAAAATCACCCACTATCCCACCTCTCAGATAAACCGTGGTTAGCATTTTGATAGATTTCTTTATAATTTTTTTCTGTGTCTGTATAGTCATCCCTTGATATCCATGGGGAATTGGTTCTAGGACCTTCCCAGGATATCAAAATTCTCATACGCGGCTGGGTATGGTGGCTCATGCCTGTAATCCCAACACTTTGGGAGGCTGAGGCGGGCGGATCACCTGAGGTCAAGAGTTTGAGACTGGTTGGCCACATGGCAAAATCCTATCTCTACTAAAAATACAAAAATTAGCTGGGTGTGGTGGTGCGCGCCTGTAATCTCACCTACTTGGGAGACTGAGGCAGGAGAATCCCCTGAACCTGGGAGGCAGAGGCTGCAGTGAGCCAAGATCTCGTCACTGCACCCCAGCCTGGGCAACAGAGCAAGACTCTTGTCTCAAAACAAACAAAACAAAATTGTCAGATGCTCAAGCCCTGGTACAAAATGATGTGTAGTATTTGCATATAGCTTATGTACATACTCCCATATACTTTAAATTATCTCTAGATTACTTATAATACCTAATACAATGTTAATACTATGTAAATAGTTGTTATACTGTATTGTTTAGGGAATAATGACAAGAAAAAATGTCTAGGCTGGGCACAGTGGCTCAGGCCTGTAATCCCACCACTTTGGGAGGCTTAAGTAGGAGGATTGCTTGAGGCCAGGAGTTTGAGACTAGTCTGGGCAACATGGTGGCATCCTGTCTCTACAAAAAAAAAAACATAAAAAAATTTAGCTAGGGCCGGGCGCGGTGGCTCAAGCCTGTAGCCCCAGCACTTTGGGAGGCCGAGACGGGCGGATCACGAGGTCAGGAGGTCGAAACCATCCTGGCTAACATGGTGAAACCCCGTCTCTACTAAAAAATACAAAAAAATAGCCGGGCGAGGTGGCGGGCGCCTGTAGTCCCAGCTACTCCGGAGGCTGAGGCAGGAGAATGGCATAAACCCGGGAGGCGGAGCTTGCAGTGAGCTGAGATCCGGCCACTGCACTCCAGCCTGGGTGACAGAGCGAGACTCCGTCTCAAAAAAAAAAAAAAAAAAAAAAAAAATTTAGCTAGGAATGGTGGCACCTACTTGTAGTCCCAGCTACTTGGGGGGCCGAGGTGGAGGGTCACTTAAGCCAAGAAGTTTGAGGTTACAGTGAGCTGAGGGCGCCACCGCACTCCAGCCTGGGTGGTAGAACGAGACCCTGTCTCCAAAAAAAGTCTACATGTGCAGTACAGATGCAGTTTTTTTTTTTTTTTGAGACGGAGTTTCGCTCTTGTTGCCCAGGCTGGAGTGCAATGGCATGATCTTAGCTCACCACAACCTCCACCTCCCAGGTTCAAGCGACTCTCCAGTCTCAGCCTCCCAAGTAGCTGGGATTACAGGCATGTGCCACCACACCCAGCTAATTTTGTGTTTTTAATAGAGATAGGGTTTCTCCAGGTTGGTTAGGCTGGTCTCCAACCCCCGACTTCAGGTTATCCGCCCACCTCTGCCTCCCAAAGTGCTGGGATTACAGGCGTGAGCCACCATGCCCGGCTTTGCAGTTTTTTTTTTCCCCAAATATTTTTGATCTGCAGTTGATTGAATCCACAGACATGGAAACCATAGATACAGAGAGCCCACTGTCTTTAATTTTTTTAAAAAATCATACACTAAAATCTTTTGTTAATTTTTTCCACTTTTTTTTTGAGTCGGAGTCTTACTCTGTCTCCCAGGTTGGAGTGCAGTGGCGCGATGTCTGGCTCAAGGCAACCTCTGCCTCCCGGGTTCAAGCAATTCTCCTGCTTCAGCCTCCCGAGTAACTGGGATTACAGGCATCCGCCACCTTGCCCAGCTATTTTTGTGTTTTTGATAGAGACACGGTTTCAC